AAAAAATCGAAACAAACGGAGATGGTTAGGCGGTCCCGAACCGAGGCACACGACCAACGATTCCGAAAAACTGGAAACCGGACTCCGAAATGGGCAAAATGGCCTGCGGCCACAAAATGTAGCCCACAGCCACTGAGAGATGGTCTACAGGACCTCTCCCTCCCCTCAGGAAAAGAAACAGAGAAAATCGAGCTTGGTTCGCAAACCGAGGTAAAGCATGAAAGAGGGTTCGGAAGTCCGGAGACAGGGTTCACAGCCGAGACTCTGAGACCTCTGAACGAGCATAATATGTAGCATCACCGAGCGCTCAACTGGTGACGTCTAAGTCTTAAGGTCGGTCAAAAATGGGGTGTCTACAGCAACTCCTCAACTTCCAAAGTTAAAGGACAAGGAAAGATTGTACTCAAGATGACATCTGGAAAGGAACTCACTCTCAACAATGTGCTGCATGTACCGGACATTCGCAAGAATTTAGTTTCCGGATCTTTGTTGAGTAAGAATGGGTTTAGGCTAGTTTTTGAAAGTGACAAGTTTGTACTTACCAAAAACGGGATGTATGTAGGAAAAGGTTACATGTCTGATGGCCATTTCAAGTTAAATGTAATGACCGTTGTACCCTCAGTTATTAATAATACTACATCTTCTTCTTACTTGCTTGAGTCTTCAAATTTATGGCATGGTAGACTAGGACATGTTAATTATGGATCTTTGCGTAGATTAATTAATATGGAATGTCTACCTAAATTTAACATTGTTTCAAATCATAAATGTGAAGTTTGTGTTTTTTTCGTTTGTTTTCCTTTTTCATTCTTCGTAAATAATTTCGGAAGAAAATTATTTTCTGTGGATTTACAAAATAATATTCTGGTTGGAAAAACAAATAGTGATTATATGCAATTTGACAAATAGTAGTAATATACTGTCTCTTTTCTTTGACAAAACGCGGACAACATTTCGATTCCAACCGGCGATCAACACCTTGCGGCTCTTATTTTCCCTAGCTTCAAGAGCCTTAGGCAAGTTGGTCTCGAAGCTTCTGATTCGGGGTAAGACGTGGAGCCGGTGGTAGAGGTAGTCACCGAACCAGCTAGAGAGTTTGCTGAGGAGGCCGAAGAGGTTGACGAGGCCCTAAACTCGGCGTTTGAGGCAGCCAGACTTAGTCAGCCTACCTCGCCGTCCACTTCGGGTCGAGTGGAGTTTTCTTCTAGAGATATTTTTGGAAGTTTAAGAGACCTACCCGGCGATTTTTTTGAAGGTATGGCTGGGGAAAACCTCACGCAGATGGCTCGAAAGAAAAATGCCGAGTGAATGGCCGCCCGAAAAAAGGTCGAGGCCGCCGGTTCTGGACCTGCCTTGGTTGAGTCTTCTGAACCCGTTATTGAAGTGCCGGCTCAGACTGTTACGGCCGAAACGACGAAAGAGGTTGAACAACCGGTCATTGAACGGATGATTCCGGAAGAGCGGGGCAAGAAGCGTAGCGCCGAGGGAGAGGCCGGTTCAGAAGATAGTCCTGCTGACAAGAGGCCTCGCTTAGAAGAGTCGGACGTGGTTGTTCCTTTTATTGTTCAGCCAAAGATCAGAGACACGCTGTAGACACCCCATTTTTGACCGACCTTAAGACTTAGACGTCACCAGTTGAGCGCTCGGTGATGCTACATATTATGCTCGTTCAGAGGTCTCAGAGTCTCGGCTGTGAACCCTGTCTCCGGACTTCCGAACCCTCTTTCATGCTTTACCTCGGTTTGCGAACCAAGCTCGATTTTCTCTGTTTCTTTTCCTGAGGGGAGGGAGAGGTCCTGTAGACCATCTCTCAGTGGCTGTGGGCTACATTTTGTGGCCGCAGGCCATTTTGCCCATTTCGGAGTCCGGTTTCCAGTTTTTCGGAATCGTTGGTCGTGTGCCTCGGTTCGGGACCGCCTAACCATCTCCGTTTGTTTCGATTTTTTGGCATACTCCTATTTACTCCCTTTTGAGGGACACTGGGGTCTGAGAAACCCACTTCGTGGCCGAATGCCACTTTCGGTGCTTAACAGCCCATTTTCGGTACCCCGAACTGCGCGTTTTGGCCCCCGAACTTTCGTTTTGCAACGGTTTTTGTTCATTTTTGGCAGGTACCTCTGTTTTATCACCGGGAAGGTCACTGAAGGATGGGAGGCCAGTAATTGTTGCAGCAACCAGTTATATATCCTCCGACGCCCTCCAACACCCGTTTTTCACACTTCCGGGCTAATGTTGAACACCTTCGGGCCACTTTCTTGAACTTTGGACCACATATTTGTGATGTACACACTTGGAGGATCCTAAAAGTTGGTGGCCGGCCACTAATGTTGCTTGACCCTTTTGAACCCCTCCTTCCGAGCCAATGTTGAACAACCTGGGCCCTTTTTCTTGAACTTTGAACCACATATTTGTGATGTACACACTTGGGAGGATCCTAAAAGTTAGTGGCCGGCCAGTAATGTTGCTTGACCCTTTTGAACCCCTCCTTCCGAGCTAATGTTGAACACCCTTGAGCCACTTTCTTGGACTTCGAACCACAGGGTTGTGAAGAGGAGACCTGGGAGGCCACCAATATGTGGTGGCCGGCCACTAAAGCAACTTGGCCTTTTTGACCCCTAGCCGGCCGGCTAGGGGAGGTGGCCGGCCGGCCACCTGGAGCTTTGAAACTTGGCCGGTCATGTTCCTCATGCTTGGTACTTTACAGCTGTATGGCTGTTTCCCCCGGAAAAATATCTCAATCCGGGGGATATTTTGTGGGGGAAAGCTTGCCTCCTTTTTCCCCCACCTTTACACCCTCTTTTGTTCCTTATAACCAGCTGCCAACACTTGTATGAGGGGTTGGAACAAAATTTCTTTGAAGCTTTACATACAACTCTCCCTCTATCTCTCTCATTTTCTCAAAAAATATCCAAGTTCTACACCTCATTTCTTCATCATCATCAAGCTCTACCACCACCCCTCCATTCCAGCAGCAAGGGGAGGAATTCCATCAGCTTAAAGTCATCAAA